TGCTCCAGTTAGACAGCAAAAGAGAATCCCCCCCTTCTTCTGCTTTTTTGTTCTATTCATTTCCTCAATGGATTGGATGATGCCCACACACACTGAGGAGGGCAGACTGCTTTACTCAGTCCACTGATTCAAATGTTAATCTCTTCTAGAAACACCTTCACAGACACACTCAGAAATAATGCTTACCCAGATATGTGTGCATTCCATGGCTCAGTCAAGTTGATGGATAATATTCACTGTCACAGTATTTCTGCCTAGAGTCCAGGAATCTGCATTTTTGCAAACATCCCAAATGTGTCTGATGTGGATGATTCACCCTCCACATTTTGAGAATCACTGAAACAGGAGGACTGGAGGTAGGGGAAGGATATCTTAGTCCCATTCCTCTCCCACCCCTCTCCCATTCTCTAGATGAGAGGGAGTCACTTATCTGATTAGCCAAATTCCAGGACATAGACCAGGCTATGTTTACTAATGGACATGATCATTATATTTTAAAATGTCAAGTAGTTGCATTTCTTATCCTCTTTTCTACTTTTTGCAGCTGCTTTGATGGGACATCACTAAGCTAAGCCAAGATCCCTCAATGTCTGACTACTTTATAGTCTGTTGCTTTATTTGCATGCTTTCTTAAATGTTGTCATGAAAACTGGACCCCTGGATGGTATGGCCCACCCAGAAGGGGATAATACCCAAGAGTTGTAGTTGGGAGGTAGGGTCTTTGTAGGCAATTAGACTAATTTGCAAGCTTCCCTTAGTCTTAACCAGAGCACCACATCGGATACACCAGGTAATTGTCCCAATAAAAAAAAATTTTTTTTCCTTGTATACATTTGGTTTTGTTTTCTATGTGTATAGCATCTTCAGGATTAGTAGCTAACATTTACTGAGTGCATACTATGTGCTAAACAGTGAGTGTTTTGCATAAAATAACTCATTTTGTTTTCATAATAACCCTGTGAGCAGGTACTATTTTTATTCCTTTTTTTTCTCCAGATGAAAAAATTGCCCAAGTTTTTCTCACTAGTGAGTGAGCAAGATTTGAACCTGGGCACCCACCTTTAATTGCACATACCTTGTCATTCCCACTCTCCTCTCACCTACTATACTTTATCGTCTTAAGGAACTGCCTGGGGTAGGGGATGGGTAATAAAGTAGAATGTTGGAATCCTAGGGTCCCCTGAACATTTACCATCTTAGTAGCATCAAAACTCTGCCTTGAACCCCTGAGAGAGGCCAATTCAAAGTCAAAAAGAAAGAAGAATGCAAAGCCATTATTTGTGTGACTAGAATCAAAACTCTATTTTGAGTTGCATTAAATAGACAGGTTTTTTTCCATAGCTTGCTGACTCTTCTGAATGGGCACTTAACTCTGGCCTCTCTTAGCTGCTGTTGAAATTTCTATAACCTCAGTGGTTCTGGGATCAACAGATGATGAAACTTTTTAGCAGATCCACTTTCTGTGAGCCAGTTGACAAGTACAGGCCTGGTATTCCCTATCTTAGAACAAACTATTAATCAGAAAGAAAGACCACAACCATAAATTGACATGAATTGGGTATTATCGTCCCCGAATGACTTTGCCCTGCCAAAAGTGTTTTGGTTTGATAACATTGGTCGACACTGGCCCTAGCCCAGCGGTTTTCAGTTTTTCTTTATGGAGTCAAATAGACTAAACTCAGCACTTTCTCAGTCTCTCAAATAAGTGCACTGACATCATTTGGAAATTATAAGAATCCACATATCAGGCCAAATTCCACCCTGGGTTCAACATCCGCTCCCCCGCCCCAAGATCAACCCCCAAGAGTATGGTTAAGTGAGGCTAGAACTTGGCCGGAAGCTTGTTATTTCTGCAGTTTTAATTACACATACCTCATCCATTTGACCAAATTAGGAATGAAGGTTCATGGAGGGAACCTTTGCCTATTGGCTTGCTTCAATGTCTGGTTCTTCAAGTACCTAACTTGGGAATTCCAGGAAAATAGTCAAGAATTGACATTTTACATTTTTAGGGCTGGAAAGAACTTGGCTCATTAGTATCTAACCCAAACCCCATGGTTTTGTAGACCAAAAAACAAAAACAAAAACAAAAACAGCCCCTGAGATTTAGAAAGGAAAAGTGCTCAAGGTCATATGAAAGGTATGGTGAGCCAGGCCAAAAAGAAAGGAAAAAAAAAAGCCAGGAATCCGTCTCTCTTATTTAGTGTGCTTTCCACACACCCAGCTAGAAAAGGATGATTTATCACAGAAGTTTGCTCCTGCTGTATTCAGTGGGAAGGACCTAGGTTTTAGAGCCAGGGAAAGGTAGGAGTAAATCCAAATTCAAGTACTTCCTATTCATGTGTGCCTAGTTTCTTAACTTCTCTGGGTCTTAGTTTTCCTATTTATCAAATGGAGAAGACTGATATATACTTCCTAAGGATTTTGTGACAATGAAGTGAAATGATATTCCCAGGCAAGGGAGGCACAGTAGGTTTTTTATTTCCTCCTTAGGACTCCTGGGTTATAAATGACAGAAACTCAAACTGCCTTGAGCCAAACGGGAATTTGTTAGGCTACCTGTATGACTTTGAGTAGATTTTGGCTCAAGAGAGGCTGGTTCTGTAGGCCTACATGTTATCATTAGAAATTATAGTTTTTTTCTATGACCCTCTTGGGCCCGCTCTGTGTTGGTGTGACATAATGGCTCTCAGCAGCTCCGGGCTTCTGTCTTTCAAGGTTCCAGTCCAGAAAAGGAAAAACTTTTCTTTCCCCCGTATTTTTTACTGGCGGTCCCAGAATTAAGTCACACTGGCCTAATGCTAATAAAATATAGACTGGGACAAATCAGGTACAAAACCATTCACTGTGCCATACAGCTGGGTGGTAGATCAGAAGGTCAGGGGAGGTCATATGCCCGCCCCTGGAGCTTGGAGGTAATGGTGAGAGAGGATGGGGTGAACCTCCAGGATCAGATTGAGAGTGGGGCAGGACTACTTCTCCATAAAACAATCCAAATGCTTTTGGTAGGATAAAAGTAAATGGACACCAGAGAAGCAAGAACAAGTTTCACTTCCCTTCTTTCTCCTTGCTCTAGATTTGTCTACACTCAGGAGGATGTTTGTTCTCTCCAAATTGTGATACAATTTATCTGTGCAAGAAGGAAATAGGTAATATTGAAGTTAATGCCTCTTGAGCTGAGTAATTAGACTTTTATGGTTAAAAACAAAGAGTTGGTCAGAGGAAGTTATTCTTTTCTGCTAGCTATGCTTTATCTTTCTTTATAAAATCAAAACAGCAAATTATATGAAAATAGACAAATAATGCTTGTAAATAGGGATACCAAATGCCACCCATCATTAAATGTGAGTTGTCACACTCTAGCACTATGTCCTATTTAGATATAATATTGCTTATTAAAACAAAAATTATTTATTAAACATTTAATGTGTGCTAGGCACTGTGCTTGAGGTAATTACAGAGGACGCAACAAGTACGTTAAAAACAGTTTTGAAAGTAATATACCTTAAGATTCAGCAAATGAAAAAGTGTTTATTGAGGCCCAGCCATGTGTTGACCATCTTTCTAGGCAGCACAGGAAGTGAAAAATTAAAAGCCCAGAAGAGCATAGTGATTAAGTACACAAGGCTTTGAAGAGAGATGGCTATGTGTTCAAAATTTGGCTTCATCCCAAATTCACTGCATGACCTTGAGGAGCCTACCATTAAACTCAAGTTCTGTAAAATAAGCCTAAGAATCACATTTATTTTTCAGGGTAATTGTGAGCATTAAAAGTCATAATACATTTCAAGTTACTTGGCACACATCACAAGGTAGGTTATAAAATGGTCGGCTATGTAGAAATTTTTGCATTGATTTGCTACCACCCACTTCCAAGCCCCAATATGCACATGTGTGCACCCGTGCTCACACACAGACACACACACACACATACTCATGGAACCACTGATGTAATAGAACTAGGGCTAAATATATATGCTGTGATCATACGGGGCCAGAACCTGAAACTATTTTGTAACCTCCTGTTGTTTAGGTTATCTTACTATCAGTGCATTGCCTGCAGATGCCCCCATGGCACACGTGTCCACACACATGTGAACTGTGAATTGTTGATGATACATGAGAAACCAAGCAGGCAAAACACTTGGGTCCCTGTGTGGTGCATAGTTGTGATGCTCACACAGAAATTAGCCTGTTTGCAGTGAGGCCAACCCAACTGCTAATTGTGTGACAAAGAAAGTGGGAAGGGGCTTTGAAATAGCAATGATAGGACTTCTGCCTCTGGTCACAATGCACTAATGGGTACTGGATTTACCTTCCCTTGTTGAACAGCTAAATACCAAACAAAAGTGTGAAATTGTCACAGTATGTGACACAGGGCAGCTGGCTACTCAGGACAGTGATTCCTGAGAGAAGAGAAATCAATGCTTGCCCCAGATTACTGCCTGGAGAAAGGTTTCATGAGAGGAGGAGGAACTGAAACAGAGCCCAGGAGCCTCCTTGAGTTGAGGTTGGAGCTCTTGGAGGCCAACATGGATGGAATTCTGATTTGAAAACTGCATAGTTTGGATCTGCTCTTTCTTTTTCTTCGTTTTCTAGTTTTCCTGAGATGGTAGCTTAGATACTTGATTTTCAGATCTTTTTTCTTTTCTCATACAGGTATGTGGTACTATAAATATTTTCCTAAGCACTGTTTTCTCTGCATCTCACAAATTTTGATAAGTTGTATTTTTATTTGTTCAAAATATTTTTAAATTCTCTTGAGATTTCTTCTTTGACCTATGTGTTATTTATGTATTTATTTATTTTCCAGAGGACATTATATTTTATTGTATGAATGTCACGTGTTTTCCAGTACTTATTTACTATATTTTATGTATTCCACAAAATAAGCATTATTTTAAAGTATACTGGAATCCATAACAGAAGGAATGCAAAGAATAGATGCTTGAAATACACCCAGTATCATCCAATCCTTTCGATAAGAAATGTTTCTAGTGTTATGGGCAAACTTGATCTTCTTTGAAATGTGTTGTCCACCACTTTTCTGTTTCAGTCACAGTACCTATAAGTAGTTATTGAAGGATGTCCTCGTCTAAATTCCCATCAATAAGAACTGATTGATTTGTTGTCTCAGCATCTTCTTTCCAGCTCACTGGTCTCCTCCAGGTCACAGAGCTCATGGACACCTTGGACGATCACTGGTTTTGGTTTGTCTTTGATCAAAACCAGCCCCATGTAGTCAATGTCCTTGTTTCTCACATTCTTCTCCCACAGAAGATTCTGAATAATATATTTAGACTTTCTTCCTTCATGTTTCCTGGTACTTAAATGTGTGACTGTGATAATGCTCTAATCAGAGTGAGGGTGCGTGGTTGGTAAGTGTTGGAGCTTTTTCTGCAAACATATTCCAGAGAGACAGTCAAAGGCATGAAGATCTAGTACATTAGAGAGATCAGCTCACTTGATCTTTGTGTTTTTAAAAATTTTCCCAGTCATTTATTGATCTAATGATCGTTCTTAATTTGCTTAAATCCTCTTGTGAAACCCAGTCTGTTTTATTAATGATGATGATATCTGCCAGAGCAGCTTGCCTAGAAGCCTCATGGATAAGGCCAACAGGTTTTTCTTCTGCTAAATGTTTTAATCCATATTTTGAATCCATAAGAGTTATGATCCCGGCAAGATAAATATCAATCCCTAATTCAGCATCAACCCAAAACAGAGAAGCTACAGCACCAGGATCTGCTAATCCACTGCTATCTAATGGTATGTCATCAAATTTTCCCTTCTTCTGCATCAGATTCTCATTAGCTCCAAGGCCACTGTCCTTTACTGAACAGCAGAGGCAAACGTTTATAAGTTTCAATCTTTCTTGGTAGAGTGTTCCACTTTGGCTGACATCTAAGGATTTCTCCACTGTATTTCCTTCCCCAAATTTGTTTAAAATAACCGCTCCTCTTTTACTATGTTGCTCTGTCAAGATATAGTTCAAAAGTATTGTCTTCCTAGCACCTAAATACCCAGTGATAATTGTGACTGGGATCTTAGCACTAGGACTGGACATTTCCTCTTCCTCTCTTTCCTTCATCTCAGTGGGGACGAATTCAGGACAGTGCTCCTCTGCCCGCTCCTCTTTCTCATCCACAGCTCCAATAGCCTGTAATATCCTGGCCAGCTGCACAGCATGCCTCTCACTTAGCTCAAGAGCTGGGACCCTCATGTGTTACTTAGAAGTGTATTGTTTAATCTCCAAGTATTTTGGAATTTTTCCAGCTATATTTTGGTTACTGATTTCTAGTTTAATTCCACTGGGGTCTGAGAGCAGACACTGTATTATTTCTATTCCACTACCTTTGTTAAGATGTGTTTTATGGGTCCAGAGTGTGGTCTATTTTGGTGAATATTCCATGGGAGCTTGAGGATTAACTGTTGGCACTGTTGAGTTCAACTATATCTTTATTGATTTCTGCCTGCTGGATTGTCTATTTCTGATAGAAAGGTGTTGAAGACTTCAACTATAATAGTGGATTCTTCTATTTCTCTTTGCAGTTGTATCAATTTTTGCCTTCTGTTGTTAGGTGCATACACATTCAGGACTGTTATTTCTTCTTAGAGAATTGACCCCTTTATCATTATATAATGCTTTTCTTTATCTTTGATAAAGTGATAAAGGAGAGGACAATGGGTAAAGACAAGAATATTACTGTTGGGAGTTCCATCATGGAAAATGACAACCCTGCTTTCTTACCAAGAATCAGGGTTTCTTAAAAACTGTCACAAAAACTCTGTGTTGCACTGATGGTACTTGTGTCCATGGCTGAGTACCTTTGAGCTAAAGCACCATCTAGAAACTGGCAGATCTCCTGTCAATGATTCAGTTACTCAGAAGACTCTATTTCAAGGAAAAAAATTTATTAAGTGCTATAACTGTCTCAGGAATAACCTTCAAACAGCACATTCTGGGCTGCCTGAGGGAAGTTCATGGTCAGGACGGTTGCTTCAAGAAGATGTGTGAAGGGAAGGGAACTAATATAAGTTGAAGGCCCATTATGAATCAGGCACCATAACAGGTGCTTTGATACACATTATCACCCAATAATATAACAATATTTATTCACTGCTTACCATTTTCCAGTTATCTCTTTTAACCTTCAAAACATGCTGATGAATTGGGTCGGTGAGTGTAGAATATTGGTTAAAACCATGGGCCAGATTGCCTGTATTTTGGTTCTGGTTCTGCCCCTGGCGTGTTACCTTGGGTGCATTACATATCTGATTGAGTGTCATCACCATCTGTGAAATGAAGGCTGTAGGAGCTCCTCCTTATAACTTCTTTGTGGGGTGGCGGATACAAAGAGCTCTGTCATCGTAGGCTATTACTACCATTATTAGCCACAGTACAGGTCAGGAAACTAAAACTTGAAGACCCTGTGTCTGGGGTCACACAACCAGGAATTTGTCGCCTTGGGGGTGGAATGGTAAGCAGTGAAAGAAAATTTGTGAAAAAAAAAATGAGTCGGATGAGCAGACGCAGCAGGGAGTGCACTGAAATGCAAGACAAGAAGATGGTTGAGGACAGCCTGCAGGGAGCTTAGATATTGTAAACAAGTGTGGCGGAGATGGAGTTTTCCCCAAATGAATTTTTTCCTAATTTGTTTTCCTACAGAGGCATCCCTACAGGTTGCTTTTTTACCGGCAAACATGCAGGATGTGTTCTCCTGGGAAGATAAATGGGGAAACCCCCCTCCCCACTGGCCCCCCAAGTACACATGATGAGTCATGGACTATTTTGGTTCAGGTTTAGGAGGATAACCTGGTGAAATTCCAAGGCTGGCTGGTGGAAAGAGCTTTCTTTTTTGCTTTCCTTATAGAGTTAGTCTTTGTCAACAGAGTTTCCCAGACAGGAAGAGGAAACTGGGTTCCAGTAAAAACAAGTCACTTGAGGAGAGATGGGAAGGAAGTTGTGCGGGTGTTTGGTGCTACTCACTTTGGTTCTGGATGGTCTTTTAGTCCCTTCTCAGTGGCCAAGGAATTTAACCAACATTTTGGAATAAAGCTGAGAAAGACCCTCTGGGCTTCTTAGAACCCCACCTTTGATGACTTGGTGGGGGCATCCCATTGTGTCTGAAGCCTCCCATGCTTGCTATTCCTACTAGCTAAGGAATTTTAAACACTTTCTGATGTCTGGGTTCTATATAATGTTTAATTTCTTGAAAGTCTTCTGTGGTTGTTGTCTCTAGGATTCACAACAACCAAGCTGTGGTGGGCGGGACAGGAGGGATTATTCCTGTTTTGCAGATGAGAAAACAGTTTCTAGGAGAACACGTTTCCTGCCTGAGGTAACTTAGCTGGTAAGTGGTAGCGCTGAGGCTGAACTCAAAGCTTCATAAGGAGTCTGTTAAACTGGTGGGAGGGGGAGCTGGTGCAGCCATGGGGAGTGAGGCTGGATTCTGAGGCGTGTGAACACAGGGGCGCAGTTTTCTGTATCTTTGCGTCCTCCTGCCTAGCCCTGTGTCAGCCTGTCACAAGAGGCCTCAGATAGTTGTTAAAATGCATTATAAGGAAACCACCAGAAGTCAGGATTGGCTTGGCACTAGGGGAGGGCTGAGCAGGAGTCCTGGCTGGGGAGAGTCCAGGGGACTGACATGGGGGTCTGATGCACTGTACAGCTTTAATGAAAGACTGCCTGAGGCATGCGGGGGTCAACTGTCCTGCACAACAGGCATACATTATGTCACTCTGCCCTGTTCCAGTCAGAAAGAAAGGGCCTGGGACCCGGAAGCAGAATGAGATGCCTTTATCTCCATGTTGCCTTGATGTGTTGTCAAACAGCAACCCTTTGGCACCCCTCTTTATCTTTCCTGCCCACCCCATCCACCCTTCCCTCCTGCCTGATACCCCAAGTCCTCCAGGTACAGTCATTTCCCCCCACAAGGTGAGACTCTTTGGATGCAGTTTAAGAAAGGCAAATGGGCCCCCTTCATCCTTACTGATGGCAGGGTAGGGACGCAAGAAAATCTTGCAGTCAGGTAGCCTTGGGATCTCCTACACTAAGGTCTTCCACATGCACCCTGGGCCTTATTGTAGCTCCCCCTCCTTTGCCCTCTGCCATGGACCAAACCACAGGCCCAGGTGTGCAGTTAGATGAGTCATATTTGGCTCCTCAGAGAACACACAGGGAAAACAGTCTGCTCCTGGGATGCTAAGAGAGGGCCCTGAAAGAGCTTATTAGGTGTGGAACCCCAGGCAGCAGTGCCCCAGGGCTGTCAAAGAGGGTGCTTTGTTCTTCTTCCCCTCCACCTGGCTCAGGTGGGCTGTCCTCTGCTCATTCACATGAAGGGATGCCAGCTCCTCAGCTGCTTCTTGTGGCTGCCAGACTTTCACTAAGGGACATCATTGCTGTTTCTGCAAGTGCAAATGGTTTGTTTCTGGGCAGACTCTTTCCAGTTTTGAATAGTTAGCCTGGGAAGAACCTAACTTGGTGAGAGTGTCTGCCAGCTGAGCAAATACCAGTGAATAATAGCAGTAATGGTAACAATGGTGTGCTTTAACAAACACCTACCATGTGCCAGATACTGTTTTAATTGCGTTGTATGTATTGTTTTGCTTAGTTCTCACAGCAAAATGAGGTAGGTATGATCACAATATTTTAAGATGAAAAAGCTGAGTCTCAGACTTCATAAGCATGCTCTGGGGACCCCTGACCTCACCCCCTGCCATCATTCTACTTCCTCCTGTTTTGGCTTCACTGACTTCTTCACTGTTCCTCAAACACATCAAGCATTTCCCTGTCTCAGTAATTTTGTGCTTCCTGTTCTTTCATTCTGGAATATTCTTTGCCCTGACTTCATGCAAGTCTGCTCACATAGCACCTTAGCTGAGAGGCTATCTCTAACTTTGTGTATAAAAGAGCATCCTTTCTTCCCCCAACATCCTGGGTTTCTGTCCCTTTCCACTGTTTTGAGCTTCTTCATAGCTCCTGCCACCACCTGGCAGAATGTACAAGTGGACGCTTGGCCAGTGTTTTTCCCTGCATGTCCTCCACATTTAGAACATTACATAGCCCATGATGTACTCAATAAATAGCTGTTGAATGACTATACTGGTAAATGAAACGGCCCAGGCATACCACTCCAGATTATGAAGCCAATCTCACATTACAACTTAAGGCAAATGTTGACATATCAAAGTAGAAACTGATAAAAAAAAATCCAGTGGGTTGTTATTAAATACAGCAGCTGAAAATAGTGCAAAGACTTTTTTAAAAAATAAGAAAAATGTTTTTCTTATGCTCATATACATTATGTACTTATAATTATTGCATGAAAATTTGGAATTTTGGACTTGATCCCAGCAAGAAAGAGTTACTTGTTATTATATGTATGAATGTGTGTATTGAGAACTCCATGTAGAAATTATATGTGCCTTCTCCATGAAATCTTCTAAGTATCCCAGTAAGAATCAATACCTATGCCAGAAGATGACAGAACACTTTATCCATACCTTTCTAATAAATAATGCAGCTAAGCCAAAGTGATTCAAATAAACACTGGATATGAAGTCTAGCAAATATGAATCTAAATCTTTCTTTTGAAATTCCATAGCTAGCTGACTGGATAATCCACATAACCACTCTCAACTTCGTTTCCATGAGGGTGAAATAATGCAGTTAATATTTCATTCATTCAACACATATTTTTTTTTTTCTTTGGTTCTTTTTTTTATTTATTTGGGGTTTTTTTAGATTTTTTTTTATTATGTTATGTTAATCAGCATACATTACATCATTACTTTTTGATGTAGTGTTCCATGATTCATTGTT